TATTGTTCTCCCTCTCTATCCAGGATCTCCTACAGAGATCCCCCTCCAAGTATGACCCAGACTTTTAATTTTTAAACTTCAGTTTTACATAAATGGAGGAATGCAAAGGGCACTGCTGACCGGAGTTTCAATCTCTCCTACTTTTCTGGAGGACAGATTGGCAATAAGAAGCATACCTGTTGTCCCGGCAATGCCTCTTTTTGAGTATATCCTACAGAAATAATTGAAGAGCATCATAGAGAATAATATTAGTATTTTTAAAAGCTTTTTTAAAAAAGACCTTTTAAAAATTATTAAAATGCCAAATGTTTTGTTATATGTATTTTACACAATTAAAACATTTCTTAAAGCCTGAATATTAAAAAGTATGGGATAGGTTAAATTGTAATGCATCCATAAAACAAAATATTATGTTTACCATTAAAATATTGTTTGATGTAGTAAAATGTTCATAACACATTAATAAACTTAAAAAGCAGATTTCCCCAGCATGTGTATGGTATGGGGAGCTCTGGTAGCTTAGTGCCTAAGGCACTTGACTGCTAACCAGAAGGCTGGCGGTTCAAACCCACCAGCCACTCCTTGGAAGGAAGGTTGGACAATCTACTTCCGTAGTGATACTGCCTCGGAAACCCAAGGAGGGGTCGCTATGAGTTGGGTCCGACTGACGCCATATAACAACAAGAACATGTATGGTATGATACCAATCTTAAGAAAAGTATAGAGTGGCAAGTAAGGGAAAAAAAAAAAAGATTGGAAGGACATAGACCTAAGTGTTAGCAGTGATAGGATTTTGTTTGGTGTTTTAAATTAAATTTTTAGAAATTGGCAATAAATTCCTATGGTACAACATTCAAAGGGTATAAAAGATATACAGTAAACTTTCTCTCCTTCCCATGTCTTTCTGCCACCTCTCCAGAGGCCATTAGAGTTAAAAAAGATGGCTTCTGGACCGTCTTCCAATTTTTTGCTCTGAACACAAGGAGCTCTGGTGGCCTAGTGCCTATGACATTTGACTGCAAGCCAGAAGTCTGGTGGTTCAAACCCACCAGCCACTCCAGGGAAGGAAGACTAGGCAATCTACTTCTATAAAGATTTACAGCCTCAGAAACCCAAAGGGGGTCGTTATGAGTCAGAACGGACTCAACGGCCATGAGTTTGGTTCCGTTTTACTCCTAACACCCACGGGACTGGCGCCCCACCTCTGCCCCCGGGGGCGGAGCTCGGCGCTAGCCCCGCCCACCAGGCGTGCCGCTCGTTTCCCCGCCCTTGCAGATGCGCGCACGCCCACTCTGGAGCCGGACACGATGCACGCGCGCCTGCGCCTGTCAGCCGACCGCTTAACTGTTCGTTGTGGACTGTTGGGCCGCCTGGGGCCCGCGCCCGCGGTGCGCTTCGACGCGCTGTGGCAGGTGCTGAGCC